CTCCTCCGTGCGCGGCGGAGCGCAGCCGGGTGCGGAGCGGAGAGGACACGATCCCTCCCCCGCCTCGCAAACTTCTCCTTGCGCGGCATTTCTCAAATTTCTCCCCCCACCCCAATCAGGTTCGACCCGCTCCATCACTCGCCAACCCCCCGCAGTAAATAACCGGCCGTGGGGCGGCCCCGCCGAGGCTCCCCCTCATCAGGCTGCGAAGGGCACCCAAATTAAGTGGATTTAGGGGTTTTTAGCAGTTATTGGAGCCAGACGTGATGCCCCGGCCGAAATCCGCCTCTCGATTGCAGCGGGCCCGGGCGCCTGGTGCTGCCACCGATGGAAAATCCCTCCCGGCTTTTTTTTATTTTCTGCTAAGGAAGCTTTAATTTCTATTTTAATTTGTATTTTTTTTTACTTGTATTTTAGTTCTTATTTTCCTTTTCTTTTTCTTTTCCTTTTTCTTTTTCTTTTTCTTTTTCTTTCTTTCTTTTTTTTCTTTTTTTTTTTTTTTTTGTGTGTGTCTTTAAAATCCTCATCCTTGCAGTCTGTCCTTGAGTCTCCCCTCTGCACAGGGAAGGAGAAGAAGCTGCGCTCAAAGAGTGCGCGGGGAAAAATCAAACCGAGCTTACTTTAGGTTATTTTTCAGTTCGTGCGCGGATTCCCTGCTCTGCAGAAAACCACTTGGTACCCACGGGGTCAGGCTCTGCCCGGCTCGGCTCTGTTTTTAGTCCCCGAAAATTAAGTTTTTATTTATGCACTGGTGTACATGGAAATTTTAGGGCTGGAAATCCTCAAATTTGCCGTTATTGGGGCGATCCCGCCATCGCGGCGGCTCCTTCTGTTTGCCGGCGATTTGGATTTCTTTTTTTTTTTTTTTTTCGGGAAAACAGTAAAGCACGGAGCAGGTTTTTATTTGCCAAGAGACTCAAAATACACCCGAGCATCTTCTGTTAATCGCTCGTGTCCTTCCTTAAATCCTCCCAGATCGGGATGACTCTAACGCGATGTTATTATTAAATAAAATTAGAACTAAAACTGCACTGTCATCGGGGTAATCCCGGGGAGAATACAAGTTTGAAAGCGAAATCCGTGTCTTTGTAGCCTTTCTCAGGATGAATCGCAAAATTCGTCGTGTTTTTTCTTTTGGCGGGTTAAAAAAATAATAATTATAATTTCTGGAGGAACCTGAAATAGAAATTTAGATTTTTTTTTTTTTTTTAATGTGGATTTAATAAAAGGGAGAATAAAAAGAGGGAAGGCGTGTGGTTGTGTCCCTAAAATCCCATCTCAGCGAGGGTGGGGAATGGTGGAAGCCGGCCCCGCCGGGACCCTGCAGAGCTGCTCCGCCGACACCCACGTGTGGGGGCTGCGCGGACACCCCCGGCGCTGCCGGCTCTTTAACCGACCCTTTCTGTGTCTTCTCTTCCAGGAGAGCCCTGGCTCCGGGTCCAGTGGCTGCTTCCCCCCCGGCCGGCCCCAGTCCCGCTCTGCCCACGGGGGAGAAGCCGCTCGCGTGGGGAGCGCGGCTCAGGTGGGTGACGGGGAAACAAGGAGGGAGAAATCCCGGGGACCGCCAGCCCCGGGGCGCGAGCAGCTCCGGGAGGGCGTGGGAAGGGCCCTTCGCCTAAAAGAAATTGGGGGCTGCAATTCAGTTGGGGGTCGCAGGTGGGGGGAAATCCACTGATGCCTCCAAAAGGTGCTGCATCCAACCCCGCCCTCCATCCCCTGCGAGCACCCACAGTCTTCCTGAAATCTACATTTTCCTCCCCAACCAAGTCTAGAAGCAGACGAAGGGAAGGGGGAAAGGTGCAACGACACCCCACACCCCAAACCCTCCCGTGCAGACGGGGGCCCACAGAGAAGCCAGGCTGGAGGCCACGGGGAGGGGCTGTCGGCGGAGCAGCGACAGTCCTGGGGGGCAGAGCCCCAGCCCCGGGAAATGGGGCCAGAATGGTTTGGGCTGTCCATAAGGCTGAGCTGTTGGGACCACCCTCCTGGGCAAGTTCGGGAACCCCCAGGACTAAGAAGGTTCTCTGCTGCCTCGATGCCTCACAGGACCCTCCCTGGGGTTATTTCCACACCCCCTGGCCCCGTTTCCCCACTCCCAGGCAGAGCTGCAAGTGCTGGGCCTGATGGGAGCCAGACCAGTGGACTCCCATTTTCCCAGTGGGGGCAACTGGGAGAGAGGACCCTGGCAGGGCAGGCATGCCACCAGCTGCACTGATGGTGACAGTGGGAGAATCTGGCTCCAGGAAGGAGACAAAAGCCGTGAGTAACTTCCCACTCTAAACTCACAGACCCAAATCCAGCTGGCTTTATGCTAGGAAAAAAAACTCCGAGGTGAAGAGGAATTTTAAGAGAAAATGCAGGGGGGGGAGGGAGGGGGAAACAACCCCCAAGCTCCATTCTTGTTCAAGGAAAAATCATGGCTTTATTTTTGGTGGGATCTGTATTACAGCAGGAAAATCAAAGGGTAGTTAGTGGCCTGTGGGGTTAAAACTACTAAAATAAGGTAGCATTTGATTCCATCTGGGAGCTGCACAGCCCGGCTGGGCCCCAGTGGCACCGGCACCACTCGTACAGCGGCAGCAGCACAGAAGAGCAGAGGTTCCCCTCCCCGAGAAAGGAGAGCCCGGGGGGCTGAGCCTGGGGGGCAGAGAGGAGGAGAGCTGGAGAGGTGGGGTGATGGTCATGGCTGGTGGTGGGGTGGGTGGTGGCAATGGGTGGTGGCCAGTGGTGGTGATGAGGGTGATGGTGATGAGGATGGTGGTGGTGATGGTGCCAAGGGTGGTGAACGGGATGGGCATGAGGATGGTGGTGGTGATGATGGTGCTGAGGGCAGTGAACAGGGTGGTGATGAGGGCGATGGTGCTGAGGGTGGTGAATGAGACGGTGGTGAGGGTGATGGTGGCGATAATGGTGCTGAGGGCGGTACATGCGACGGTGATGGTGCTGAGGGTGATGGTGCTGAGGGTGATGGTGATGAGGGTGATGGTGATGAGGGTGATGGTGACGGTGGGTGATGGTGATGAGGGTGATGGTGACGGTGGGTGATGGTGCTGAGGGTGATGGTGATGAGGGTGATGGTGCTGAGGGTGATGGTGATGAGGGTGATGGTGACAGTGGGTGATGGTGATGAGGGTGATGGTGCTGAGGGTGATGGTGATGAGGGTGATGGTGACAGTGGGTGATGGTGACGGTGGGTGATGGTGCTGGCGATGGCGACCGTGGTTCTGAGGTGGGTGAGGTGATGGTGATGGACGGCGGCGGTGGTGGGGGCGATGATGGGGAAGGGTGATGGAGGTGACAGAGACGGGGGTGAGAGGGACGAGGGCGATAGGGATGGGGGGGGTGATGGGCGGCGGCGACGCGCGTGTGCGCGCGGCTCGCGGCCCCTCCCAAACCCATTGATGAACCGATGGGCGCTGCAGAGGGGTGGGAGCCGGGGCGGGTGACGTCAGGAGGGGCCGAGCCAATGGGCTCGCCCGGAGAGGGCCGGGAGTGGGAAAGCATGAATGAAAAGTGCCGCGCGCCGCTCCCCCCGGCGCAGAGGCTGCGGGCAGCAGGTACGAGCCGAGCCTTGCTGAGCCCAGTCGAGCCGTGCTGAGCCCAGCCGAGCATTGCCGAGCCCAGCCGAGCTGCCGGCAGGGCCCCGAGCTGCCGGCAGGGCCCCGGCCCCGCGCTGCCGGCGCTCCGCTTCGCGGGAGAAGGCGGGGGCGGAGGAGCCGCGGCATCTCGGCGGAGCGAGGGCTCCGCGTCTTCCCCGCAGCGCGCGGAGGCTGCAGGTGAAGGAGGGACGGGAGCGGAGCAGGTCGCTCGGCGAGGGGAGGGATGCGGGTGGAGGCGGGCGGCTGGGACTGCGGGGTGCCGCGGGGAAGGGGAGGGATGAGGGTTCCTCCCCTGGAGAATGGAGGGATGCGGGATGCCCTGGAGAGGAGGAGCGGTGCGGGGATGCGCGTTCCTTCCCGGAGGAAAGAAAGGTGGAGGGACGCAGGTCACTCCGGAGAAGGAGAAGGGTTCTCCCCCACCCCCGGAGAAAGGAGGGATGGAGGGATGCAGAGCCCACGAAGGAAGGATGGAGGGATGCGTGTTCCCCGCGAAAGAAGAAAGGACGGAGGGATATGGGGAGAGGAAGGCGAGGGATGCGGGTCCACACCAGCGGAAAGCTCCGGTCCCCCCCGAACGAACGGCGGGATGCGGGTCCCGGTCCCCGTGCAGAGCCGGGGTCCTGAGCCGCGAGCATGAGTCTCTCCCTTCCTTCTTTCCTCCTTTCATCATTTCCTCTGTGTTTTCTGTGTTTATTCATCGCTTCTGTTCCCCCAGATCTTGGCTGAATCCAAAGCATCACAAGTTATTATTTATATTAACCGGCAGGTTTTTCTCGCAGTCATTTTGTTTAGAGAGCGTTAAACGCGTTTCTGGGTGGGGAAATGTCCTTTTGGTCTTCTATGCATATCTTAAGTTGCGGGCGCAAATTATATTTGCTTTGATTATTACCAGTTTGAATGCATTAATTTGATAGTTATTAAAAATAATGTGGGCTTAATTCTCGGCACCTGCAGAATATCATTTGGTTTGCAAATGAAACAAATTGAAACTCGGCAGAAAATAGGCAGCTCCTGCGTGGTGATCCTGTAATTCTGCTCCAAATTGTGTTTCCGAGGGGCCTGATCCTGCCTGTCCCAGTGATGCTCAGGACTCTGTGCCCTGGGCTGGCTGGGCTGCGGGAATAGTGCCAGGGCTGTAGCTGTGTGCACGTATTATGGATCTGGCTGCTAATATTTGCATCTCTTTTTATTAATTTTCCTCCCTCGTTCATTCCTTAAAAGCCACGTGCCCCCGAACCCCTGGAGAAGAGAAGGTTGGCTTTTTCCTGCTGATGCTGTAGACTCCAGGGGTTGGTTGTTATCTTTGGTTATCTAGCTGTATGAGTGGTGTCGATTCTTCATAAAGCTAGATAACCGAAAGTAAAAATAACCCCATTACACGCCTGAGGAGGATGTGGAGAAGAAAGGAAATTCATCAAAAGGAAGAGGAGGAAAAGAAAAAATGAAAAGAGAAAAAAAAAAAAGGAAGAGAAAGGAAATGAGAGGCAGAAAAAAACGGGGAAAAAGACAACTTTCAGAGTCTGGAATTAAAACCCGAGGTAGGATTTTTTTATTTTATTTTTTTTAAGAACTCATTTTCCTCCTGTGATTTTAAGAGTTTACTAATTCTGGGCATGGGGAGAAACCGTCTGTGTTGAGAAAGACAAGGATGTTGCCGCTCTCTCCTCGGCCGTTAACCATAATTGAATTAACAAAGTAAAACTTCCAATCAGATTATGAATTAGTTAAGTCCAGGACCCAGACTACAGATCAAGGATGAAGTTTCATTGCATAACCAGTCGTAGAGCATCAGAGAATCCATAAATCAATACAGATTACTGTGTTGGATTATCTGTTTAATAAAGCAGCAACAGAGCAATGTTTATTAATGGTTGTTTTGCAAATACGAGTACTGGATTCTTTTTCCTTTTTTTTTTCCTTCCCTCCCCCACTCTTCCCTATCTGTTATACATTTAATTTTCTTCCCTGACAGCTATAACTTGATATCAGGATTAGAAAGAAGGATATGGTGATTTGGAAAATGGTTTCTTGCAGTTTTCTTTGTTTTTCTTCCCTAGTATCTATCCAAACACTTTCTTTATTCGTTTAACCCTTTGTCTATGAACATTTCTTTGCATAGACTCAAGATTCCAAGATTGGGGATTCACAAAATATATAGATTTTTATAACTTGTGTATGGAACCGTGTGAGACTATTTGGGAAACTTGATTTTGCTTAATTTATCTTCTCTGCAAATCCATGCTGGTTCTTACCCCTCTTTACTGGATTATGTGTCAACCTCTTCCTTGTGGAAACTGAGATTTTTTTTTTACCTGCTCTACTGTAGAAGGGAATTTTGGATCAAAGAGGTGAACTGGGTGCTTCCCACTCATTTTTAATAGTGAGACTGGTTGCCTTAGATGCTACCTTCAAAATACAGCAAAATATCTGCAAAGGTGTCTTGATGTTGCTTAGAAGAACACAAAGATCTCATGGTGGATTAAGAAAAAATAATCTCAGAACGGTGATTCCAAGGAGAGGAAAAAAAAAGAAGGTCTTAATAATAATAAAGAGCTAATGCGGGTGACGGCACCTGAACTAATTTTGGAAAGGAGCAATTATAGCTTTGTGACTTTATGAAAACCCTCTTGTGAGAGATGTAGAAATGAGCTGACTTTTGACCCATGCTGGACCCGCTCGTTTTGCTCATGTGCTCATCAGGATCTTCAAAAAACAGAAGGGCAGAAGAAGCTGTCCCTTGGCACCTCATCCAGGGAAGGGTTGTAGTGCTGCATGTGACACAAAAGATTTATCCTGCTCATATGATTGCTTGAAATTAATAAACAAGGTATTTTTTCCCCCTCACCCATAGCCCTGTAATTCAGAATAATTTAGTGCCTGTGTTAACTGGGAGTTCATGTAATGATCTTCTTGGGGAAAGCTTAGGGAAAACCTCCTCTCTGTCTTCCCATCGAGGTTCACCTGGGTGCTGCCATTGTTCCTGGTGCTGTTCCCGCAGCCCATGTTGGTGGTGGCAAGGGAAGTTTTTACAGGCTCTTATATGATTCCCTCTTCCTTGTTGCCTTCTTCTTTCTCCTCCCTGGGGCAAGTGAAGTGCTGCTCTCCTGGCCAGGTGGCTCATCCCCAGTCAAAGGGGGACATTGCAGAGGACAGGGCAAGAGGGAGCCAGCTCCAGAAATTATTTGAGCTTTGATCCATGGACAGGGAGAGAGCATCCTCCATGGAAGGGGAGAGAGCATCCTCCATAGACACTCACACCTGAGTGTCTTGTAGGATGAGGCTGGACACTCTTGACTTTGGTGACAGTGGGGTGTCACCACACAGAGCTCTCCACCTTCATCCTTCCCGGGCAGACTGAGCCTCGTTGCTGCTCCAGATGGATAGTATGGATAGTTGCTGCTATGTGTCTGTGGGCAGACACCGGCACTGAGCAGTGGCCTGAAGTCCTCGTGTGAAGAGGGGCGGTGGCTCCCCAGGGGGACAAGGGACTCTTGCTCTGGGTGAGCACTGGGGAGCTGCCATGTGCCGCCCACCATTGGCCGGTGTCTTCGTTCAAGGGGGGGGGGAAGTGCCTTTTCTCCAATCAGGGGCTGGGAGCGATGCCATGTGAGCATCTTTTGGTGTTCCTGGGTGACCAATCCTGGTCCCGCACTGCCATAGGCTGATTTTGATGGTGTCACTTGCTTGGCTGTAACAAAGACACGGGCAGGAGTGGGAGGACGCGAACTGGGATGAGGATGAAACTCGGCATTTGGCGAACCATGTGTGGTGGGCCCGGACTCAGGGGCAGGATGTGCCTGTGCTGGTCTGTGATGGAGAGGTGGCTTTAAAGCCCACCAGGCCCGACCTGGCTCTCTGGAGCTCGTACACCTCATTTCGAGCTGCAAAAAACTCCCCTTAAAATGGCTGTGACTCTCCCCGTTCAGGGACGTGGTGACACCATGGAGCTAAAGCATCTCCTGGTCACCACCCATCCCTTTGTGCTCCCAGCCTGGCAGGGTGAATGGGAACCAGTTTCACTCCACTCACTGCCCCTTGACCATTCGGTGGGTCCTTGGGGGTCCCGGTGCCATGAGCTTTGCTGTGGCCCGTGGGCTCCGTGGGTGCTGTCGGAGCATGTTGCTCTTTGTCTGGGTGGAGATTCCTTCTTAATTTGGATTTTTGTTGTGGGGGGTGGCCATTCCCAGTGGCAAGACTGGCTGCATGGCTGCGAGCTTGGCTTTCTCGAAGGCTTTTAGGATAGTCTTGCAAAGAGCTGATTTTTATTTTTTTCCCCCTTTTCTCTCTGATTTGCTTCTGGAGTGCACTAGCAGTAAGCCCGGTATATTGGCATGACATTGATCCAAATTGCAGTTTACATGTGGCCATTTAAGCTTGCCTGGACACTATGATTTGACTGGTTAACACTCAGCACTGTCTACTCTGTTCTCCCTTCTGGCCATATAACTGCTGGAGACATTAATAGGAGACACATTCGCATGTTCAGGAGCAAGGGATCAGCTCTCCACATCCCTTCCCTTGCTTAGCAGCAGCTTGGAGCAGGGAAAAAAAAAAAAGGAGCAAATGCAATACTAATTTTTCCATGATTCGGTGAGTCATTGTGGAGAACAAGCCTATACAAACATAACTATTGAAAATTATTAATTTCATTCAATAAATCCCCTTTAGCTCCTGTCTTTAATGCTTATGCCAAGGATACAGAAATTCAGCAGGGCATTTTGTTGCTGAGTCCAAAGCCCTTTCACACCACTCTCATCATATGAAAGATGCGCTGTGAGTCAGGGGACTGGCAAAAGTGGCAAAAGTGCAGAAATACTCATGCTGGTTGGTGCTGCCAGTGGATATGAACTTTTACTTTGTGATGGATAAAATATTTATATTTTTTTAATATTTAATATTAGAAAATTCTCACCCCCAAATGATGAAGAATAGTTTAAAAATATTTTTAAAAAGTCGGGATTGTTTGGTGTTGGAGGAAAAAAGACATTTCCCCACTGAAGGAATTTTCTGCTGGTCTTTTCCAGTTTTCAGCTGAAAACAATAGGAGGCCCTGATGGCTCAAGCCTTCTAGGTCTCCCTAGAGCATGGTGTCCCTTTCTCTCCCCAGCGTCTCCCTCTCAGCACAGTCCCATGTGCCGTGGGTTGGACAGGTGTGGAATGGCACTGCAGTGCCACCACAAAGAAATCATGCTGATACAATAGGAATATGTGTGTATCTATACAGATACAGATATAATTCCTTCCTCCAAGCAGTTGCATCCAGATTTGGTGGGAGAGGGGATGGTTTTTAAAGGTGCTCTCACGGTAGGGCTGGCAGCCAGCAGTGACTCGCTCCCAACACTGCTCCTCAAAGCTCTGCTGGTTTGGGGGTGTCAAGGTTGTGTAGTGTGTGGTCCAGCTGGTCGGGACGGGCTTGGGGGGATCTCTGTGCCAAAGCAAAGCATGAGGCTTCCTGATTGAAGCCTCCAGCCGCTGGACTGGGGCTGAGAGGGGAGCACGTCTTTGTGCCGAGAACAGAGTCTTTCCTCTTCAAACAATCAGGGCTTCAAACCCCTGAGCGTTTTCAAGGGAACGATTTTTATGTCGGGATTATGATAAACCGGCTGAGTGGGCGCACTAAGCCGCCATAGGAATCAGATCAGGCCCTGCTTTAATTTCAGCAAGTGGCGGGTGTGTGGGAACGGAGGCTGGGGCGATGCTCGGAATTAACCGTCTGGGCTCTGGGCCCCGGCGTCCCCCGTTTCGGAGCACAGACCCGAGGAGGGGTGCGGGCAGGGTCATCTCGGCCCTGTCCCCACCGTGGCTTTGCCGATGGGTCTGGCGGCCGACCCACAGCACTTTGCAAGGTGCTTTACACCACCCTGTGACGGTTTTAGAGTAGCCGGCGCCGCTGTCTGTACGGCAGGAGCAGGAGGGAGAGGGGATTTCTTAACATTCCAAGCTGCAAACGTGGTGCTGAGTGTCCAAAAACGAGACCGGGTGGCTCTCACTGCACCCCGCCGGGGGAAAAGCGGGTGGCAGTGCCCCGAGGAGGGTACAGCTGGAAGGAAAATGATGAGCTCTGTGGTCTTCAGGCTGCTGGGAGGAGACGGGCGCCAGCGGGCAGGTCGCTCAGATGCAGCCGGGGTGATTGGATGTGAAAGCGGAGCCGCGGTTCTCGCCGCCCGCGCCGGCAGCTTCGCCTCTCCGCGCCGCCCGCCGCGACGGGAGGTTCTGCAGGCCCGGGCTTGTGTGACAGCGTTGCCAGCGTGACGGGGGGCCCCTAAAAATAGTCCTGGGGCCGCATTCCGGCTTGCCCTGCGGGATTTTCAGGGACAGATATAGAAAGGGACGTGTGCGTGTGAGTCCCGACACCTCCCTGCTCGCTGCCTCTCTCGCTGCCAGAGCAGGGGAAGGGGTGGCAGCCGCCGGGAGCGGGCGGGATCTGCTGCCGGGAAAGCTGTGGTGGCCCTGAGAAATTCCGGTTCAGGAGCCCCGTGCCAGCTGCTGTGAGGGACCCCCCGAATCCTGGGGCTGGGATTCCAGGTGGGGGGGTGTC